ATTTTGTATTCAACAAACTCGAAAATATTTTGAGCTATTTCATGAAGTAAGGGTTATCTCAAAGCAATATTCCCTTCTTCAAAGATCAGTATTTCAGTTCACACCTACCACGCAACACACACAATCTCGCATTGAACTGAGAATCACGTATTGGAATAATAATTGCAAGGAAATTATTTTATTAATGGGCTTTGAGGACACTACCCATTCTCGTTCCCAGAGATCCTTGCGACCAGAACACCGAAAGTATCTCTGCCACCACACACCGCCATTTTGTGGTGAAACACCACAAGACTTTTACTACATGTATCATTTGCTTTTGAGGGCTTTTGTGTTATAATTTACAAAAGAAAATAATTTCATTGCGGAATAACTGTTACTAAGATTCATCAAACTGACCGTCCTGTTGATTGCCAAGCGAAGAAATATAAACAAACGAAAGCACTTCGTAGTATTGACGACTAAATCGTTTTACTGAAACACCGTTTGTGCTATGGAAAGATGAAAAGGAGCTTCTAACTTTGAAAACACCCAGAATCTGCAAACAACGTGTACACATTCATTGGGTTCAAAAATCGAACACTTGCATGGCAATGTTTTGGTGAGCGTCTTTGAAAGTAGTATCATTGTGACGCATCGACCAATCAACTACGAGGATAAGATCGTGTGGGCAGAGATATATTCATAGAAATAGAACTCTGCCTGGGAGATTGGACACTACCTATAAACTATACAGTGTATACATTGTGTGTGTCATTCATACCTGCACCAGCTCGTTTGATTTCGTGGATGGTATTATTTACTATTGTGGTAAACATGTTTCCTTCTTTAGCATCAAGAAACTTGACCGAGTATATAGAGCCATCGTCAATAGTAATATCATGCTTTGTTTCGGACTGTATATTGTATTTCACATTATTCAGATTCAATCGCAGCAGCTCCTATAAAAAAGTATAGCATTAAGTTACAATGAAATAAAGAATAATTTGCATAAATGAACTACCTATAAGTTTTTTTTGTTACTGTATTCACTCTCTTGGAAGCATGTTTCCAATAGAAACACATATAAACAAAAAATCATATTGGCTTTATACGATATATATACCTAAAATGGAATTTATTTAAAAGTGTAGTCCTGAATGAGGGCAAATGTGTGTGTTCAAACTTCATTCCAACTATTTTTTAACCAAATATTGATCAATAAAACTCAGAAATATTGCATAGAAATAAAAAGCCGAAAATTATATACATGGCAAAGTAATTCAATTGGCAATTGTTTTTTGTCTCTAATGACTGGAGTGTGTCCTACATATGACTTATTACATTTAAATGCAAGTTCCATTTCAAACTAGGCACAGGATGATTTTTCAAAATATAATTAGTTGGTAGCATCCAACTTATATTAAAGTGAAATATCAAAGTGTTTTCACATTCTTCAGAATGTTTTTAAATTCCACGACCACACTTTTAATTACTGTCAACAGTTTTGTTTGATTACAGTCTCTCATTCTGATCATACGAGAGAGACTGTAGCTAAACATATTTTAAACATAGCATAACTATTACGAATCTAGATATTAATAATAAATAACAATTTAATTCAAGAATGCTGTGCCTGGTACGATCTTTTGGCTGCAAGGTAAAAGTTAGAATAAAAATTTTGAAATAAATACAACATTTTGCACAGAAAATATAGGCTAAAATTTGGTTGGAACAATTCTGACCAAAAACTGAAAAGAAAAAATAGGTCATCCCAATAATGTAAAAAACATGATCCTCAATTAACGGTGGTCTCTATTGTCATTTTACATGTTCATACAGATTTAATTTATAGGATTTTATTTCTCAACAAAAATAGCAGAAGTAAAAGCCAGAGAATAATAAGTGTGTTTACAGTATTACCAGATTTTGAGGCACATATTACTAAACATCTGATTCTAATGATCAGCAATATAGACATCTCTATTCTATGCACTTTGAATTGAAGTGAATTGAAGAAGACTCCACCTAGGTGTACAATTTGCATATAAACTGAAATATCTAAGTCTGAAAATTTTTTTATTTTATCAAAATTGTAATATCTTCAAAATTGAACTTTGTGAACATTATATTATACAATTTCCAAGTTCAAAGATGATGAGATAAAATTTGTTTGAAAAAGAAAATTCCACCAATATTTTGAAACAAGCAGCCTCTCGGCTGAGATAGTTCTGCTGTTAGCAATGCACATTCCAATTAAAGAACTGAAAATATCATTAGAAAATGAACAATATGTACAAGTATCAAATCAATTGGACTTGCTGTTTTCAACAAGGAAATGTCACTTATTACATGTATGTATGGGGGTCTAAAAACTCTGCGACGCGATTGTGCTACTCGCCGAATGTCAATTATTGCACTCTGCGACAGGATCGCAGTGACACTCTGCGAAGAGCACGATTTCTATTGGTTGGTGGGTCGAACAGCGCGAATTCCAATGGTCGATGTTCACTGCATGACTTATAAAAAATTAAGTTTTAAATGGTAAAAATGGTACGGTAAAAAAAAATGTGTAAACACTATGTACCGGCGACATGCCGCACTGTTCGGTGATCGGCAAGCACATAGAAGACAAATTGTGGGACCAAACAAATGACACATGCTTTACGGTGATTAGACACATCACACCGCTGGCTAGAAAAATTAAATAGTGTAACATGCACGTTGGTTTTCACTGCCTATTTACGGTGTAACGTTATCGCCATCTTGGAGTTGTAAGGCTTCGTCCTGACATGGAAGGTATCCGTTAGTACCTTCCATGGTCCTGACGACTATGCTCATTAGCATAGGCGGCAGCTTCAAAGCCAGTAGAACGCGAAGTACTTTTCACGCGTTCTGCAACGAAAGTTGTACGTCAGCTTTGACTTTGTTGAGTGCATCAGGGAAAATAATTTGCATGCAGTAACAAAAAAATCATTCACGATGTGCAACGTTTTGCCATGACAGCAGTTGTTTGCAATCGTCTGCCTTCATTTAGATCATAAACGGACTCCAAACTTGTGGTCTACGATCGATTAGCTGGTATTTTAACCAGAAATGAAATACTTTGTAATAGTTGTGAAAACTAAACAAAAACGGTGTTGGTTTGTGGTATGAATGGTATTATTTTTGTATCATAATTTTCGAAGTCAGTATTACTGAAAATTATGGTTTATTTTTTTTTAAATGAACGCCAAATTTCAGTGGTCCATATTGATCTTAAGGTAGCGGAAAGGGAATTTTTTTTTATCTTGATTTTTCAATAATTGATAAAACGGTTACTTTGTACCTTGATTCATCATCTCAGCTTTTCGAAATTTTGGAAAAACCAGTGCTCAAACACTACTACCGTTTCGTTAATATTTGCATAATGTTTCTAACATGTACATATATGTATACTACCGGTTATACTCTGTTGTTGACGATTCTGATAGAACGGGTGACAAGCTTCCTGTCACAAACAATGCATATTAATCTAACGTCCATTGTCAGCATTATTATCAGTCAAGACTTCGTCTGAGAATTCGTTTTATTTTAATAACACCATCCATGGAAGGTACTAACGGAAGGAGCCACACGCCAATCAAGTGGCCACTTAAGCCTCTTAACTGGCTTATTTCCTTTTGTTTCAACCCAAATTAATCCTGATAAGGCCATTGTCTAGCTCATCTTTGATGTCCATGATAGTTTGTGATTGTTTACACAGGTAATGAGTTAGCGGAGTATGATACAACCCCGCCATTTTTTTAATGTGACTATAAAATATATGCGCATTATGAAACTACGGTCATCACACATGCGCACTGGGTTTGTTTAGGTGTAAAAGGTCAAAATACGTATTTCACAACTGGAAATTCAACTGATGAACGTTTGACTTCACAAATTTCACATGTTTTAAATATTAGCAACTGTAACTAGAACAAGATTTCGAGT